ACCTCGGGATGATCGTCACCGATGGTTAGATACACAGAGTGATATGGCTGAGTGTCCTAAACAGTGGCGTTCGTTCATCTCAATTTCTTTGTAAACTAGTAGAATGAAAATCTTAAGTTCCTGTTCGACTCTTCTTTCAACGTGGTCTTTCTCCTACTGCTCATCCAAATGGGCAGCCAGAAGACAGCAAACAGAACCAGCGCAGAAAAGCGCATGATTGATGGTTGTTCAAACTGGAAAACTGAAACTGAATCGAAGTCACTATTACGGGTGTGTCCCAGACTTAGGGAGTCCGAGGTTCCAGTCGGGTCACCATCACCTGATTTCATAAATTTTCTCTATCTGTGACGCAATATTACCAGGAAATCATCGATGGAGAGGACAATTTGGTTCCTAACCAAAAAACATTTCTACACGTGCGGTTCCTTAGTCAGATAATGATACAGGGTGATTAAACTGAGTTAAATCGACTAAATAGATGGAATAATTAAAACCCGACAGGTGCAAAGCAATTTCAGTTCCAGTTTATAAAAGCATAAGATTTAAAGCGACGTTTTTGGTTGCTGTCTTTCGTCTGCGCATTTGACTGCAGGACATGAGGGACGAATTAGAAAGCTGAACTCAAACTTGGGTGACCAAGAGACAGCAACCAAAACCGGCGCACGAAAGTGCCTGGCTAATGGTTGTAAAGACTGAAAACCGAAACTTCAGAAGAAATTGCGAGGACGCACGAGTGACATTGTTTAAGACACTCAGCTGTATGACTCTATGTCTCTAACTAGCGGTTAATGTTATTCCAAGGTGTATTATTCATAATTTTATTTTTATTATTACTAATGTTATATTTCACGTGTCCAATATGAGTTTTTGGCCAACACCCATAAATGAAGTGCAACGGACCCCGATGTTGCCTTTTTGTTCTTTCATTCCAGTGGGAAAACACCTTAGCCGCGCGAAGGCAGTGAATGGGGCTTTCTCATTAGAGACTATTCAAAACGCTTGGTCGATAATCGTTATCGTGGTCCCGTAGTGGTCAAGTGCCTGAACCAATGGAACTGCTGCGGTGCACATTTGACCCTTTGCGAGCAACCTAATATTGCTGCAACAAAACAGATACCTTAAATTGGAAAACGCCCAGTGCATCAAGGGTCATCGATGCAAAGCAATACATATTCAGATTATATATAGATCACCACCGAGCTTATCTAACTGATGCACTGAAGAAAAAGGCAACCATCAACCAGACACGTAACGTAAGACAGGAAAACTCACCCCGCCACTACTATATGCATCTTCGTCCATGTTGGGGTTGACGTCTAAGCGATTCTGTGACTCCTCTCCATCAGAGATTTTCTGTGAAGCTACTTTGGGTTCGGAATAGGACGGGTCATGTGAGGAAACGAGTCGTGGACTGGGGCTTTTGGATGACACTGTGTTCCGATCCATAGCCGTGGGTGAAGCGGTTGGAACGACCAGGCTGGGAGTGGTATACAAGTGAAAAGCTTTCTTGCGAGGCCTGAATAATAGACACATTTGAACAAAAACACCTGCCAGTGCTTGCTAGTAGGACATACACCCATACGTACGGAAAGGATATAACAGGTTATCGTATCAAGGAACGCACACCCTCCCCATTCTACCCCAGTGTGTGGCGACGTACAGTCCGGATATCTTATTGCAAATATAGAACCAAAAATGGTCAAGTTAAAGATAGTAGGTTAATCCGACGGAAGAATATATCTTGAACAGATCATTTCCTCCGATAATACATTACCCTATGAAAACGGGTGCTGCTCAGTTGACAACCATGAAGGCCGAATATTTTGTTAGTGTGCTTCATTTTATTCAGAAATCCGTGTGACACTAGGTTTCTACTATCATCTTAAGCCGACTGAAAATTCAACTTCATTTGATNTGATTCAGACCAAATTAACCCCAAATTGGGAACCACATGAAGTCGTCCAGTCAAGTAAAGGATTATGAAAAGGCGGCAAGCAGTGTGCGCATAGCATTGTTCTTCCACGTTAGCCACTGCCAATGAAGTGCATGCAGCTTAGGGAGTATGTGGCAGATGAAAATCGTGCGATGAGCGTTCTCATAAAGAGCATTACAAGAGTACCGCACTTTGCCAGTGGATGAAATCGGGACTTGAAACACTATGGGTGAAATGGTTCGCTATACATATCAATGATCCGAACAATCAAACAATGCTCTAAATGTGTTTGTCGAGTATTACTCTTCATTGCTTCAATAGGTGTTATACAATCAACGGCGTAGATTTCAGTTGTGAAATATCAGGATTAAAACCCGATCTAGGATGATAAATTGATACATACAGAACTATGGATTTCATGTCCATCAAAGGAGTCCCATCTCACGTATTTGGGATTTCCGAAAAGCATTCAGAGTGTAATTTTTCTTTCACCTAAATTCCCTTCCATTCCAGGTACGAGACAACCGTATGATCGGCAGTCATTTGGAAACCGTAGAGAAAACAGACAAATTACCAAAACCACCACCGCCAAAAACAATCTATGAAGCGCGCATGTAGCCACTTAGCATGATCACTGGCTAACGGCATGCATCGATTGTTCGACATTAGGAGATCGTGAGAGGGAATGCATAAAATCAACAAATGGACCAGAAAGTGAAGAATACGAGGAGAGAGGGAATATCAAGCACGTGATGTTTCAGTAAGTCACATGACAGACCGTGTAACCGACATGGATGAAAGCTGTTCCATTCGGTCTGTCATCTGTTACGCTCACCTGCTTGGCTTTATCTACCCGTTCCAATAATTAAGCGAGTAGATATTTAACAATGTAATTGATCAGAAATGGCTTAAAAAGGCACAAGCTTTCGGCAAGCAGTAACTTATTCGAGTAGCGTCATCAAAAGGACTTGCTTGTTCACTTGACGGACAGCGAGATCAGAGTGGAACAACAAAGCAGTTAGGAAAAATTTAGCGGTCACGATGTGCACCAATCTGATGCGGGAAGTTTTGTATAAACATAAGACAGAAATGTATGCAAATCACATGGGTTATTGAATCATTGTGCCAAAAGAAATATTCGAAGTGGCAAAACTTTAAAAAATGATCAGTGGACGTTAATTTCCCAAAAATTGACGAATAGTGTTGATTATAAGTACCACAGACGTCGTAGGATATGAACGCAATGACAACCATCTTCATTGACTGCAAAAGTGAAAGAAGAGGCACATTTGCATGCACTACTTACTTTGCACTTGGTGTGACCGACTGCGGAGATCTGACCGGGTTGTTCGCATCGTTGGGAGATCCTGACGGAGCATGGGGAGAGGGGCCTGTGCAACCAGCAAGACGAGCATCATCTTCCTCCGAGGTAGGAGCAGGTGAGTTGCGACGACTCACACGATTCTGAGCAGGTGGAGATGATTCGTGCAAACCGTCTGACGGGCGCCGTGAATCAAATGTAGCCAAACGAGCGGAGGCAACAGTTCCCATACCAGGAGCAATGTGTGTCATTCCGTTTTTAGTATGTTCTTCAAATTTGTGGGGTTCGGTCGGGCTACGAACGGAAAGCCTTGGATCAGTTGGACTGTGAGTTACGGAGGATCGCGACTCATCGAGAGAATTTGGGTCGTTCTGTGGGGTTAACGATAGGTGTGGTTTAAGGTAAGACAGTTCGAAAGGCTTTGCTTTTCGAAAAGAACGCACAATATTTGAACGAAATCAAGGTAAAAGCAGCTAGTGGCAACCACGGGGAATCACACGTGCTGAATCGACACGACGGTTTAGTGGGTAAAGGTTACATGAAACGCTTAGTGACTAACAGAGACCGCAACTGCTTTATGATTTATCCAGGAGAGGATAGAGGGCAATAAGATCCAAGATGTATATGTTTACCTCAACAGGACCTATGCAATGAACAAAACTCCTAGCATAACCAGGTCAGCTGAAAATGCATTCATTAGCCAAACTGATCGGTTAAGAACCAAAAAAGACAAAATTCTACATATTAGGAGTGCACAGTGCTTAAATGTGCTTGTGTATCAGAGACCCTAGGCAGATATTTGATATGAACGAGGAGTGAACGAGTGATCCTATAACAAAGAGAGTTTGACGACTGATTTATAACAAGTCACGTGCAAATGACCGCAAACTCGGACGACGTTTGGCACGTGGAACAGAGGTGCAAAAGATGTGCAAAGAATATTCAACGACAAAAGGGTACAACAAATAAATGCTGAATAAAGGACCAGTTTAAGATTTCACAACCATTAACCATGCACTTTCGTGCACCGGTTTCGGTTGCTGTCTTTCGGTGTCCTAGTTGGATAAGAGAGCAGAATGAAGATTGAAATGTTGAAAGAAAATTCAAGCGGAATATGGAGAATTCATTTAGAACATTATTACAAGGGATTATGGAATGGATGCACGAGCACCACCGTTAGCAACATCCAGCCATATCACTCTGTGTATCTAACCATCGGTGACGATCATCCCGAGGTCCCCAGCCAGGGAGCCTAACAGGATCTTTGTGACCTAGATTCCTGGTTAAGGTTTGT